TCTCTCTTTCTTTCTATCCCCTGCTCTCTCTCTCTCTCTCTCTCTCTCTCTCTCTCTCTCCCCTCCTGTTTCTCTCTTTCTGTATCTCCCCTTTTCTTTTTCTTTCTCTCCCTCTGTTTCTCTCTCATCTTTCGTCTCTTCCCTCCTGTTTCTCTCTGTCTCCCTCTATCTCCTCCCCCCTCTCTCTCTCTCTTTCTCTTTCTCTCTCCCTCCCTCATCTCTGTCTCTATGGTACTACGCCTCCCCGGTGATAGTCGCGATATCTGCGCAATGCGCGCGCGCGGCGCTGACTCGCGTATAAGCGAGAGCGAGACGCGAAACTTTCGTGAACGTAGATGTAGAATTGTCGTACTCGTCCTCTTCCTCCCTCCCTCCCTCCCTCCCTTCCCACTCCCTCCAGCGCACCAGCGTTCGTGCGATCGGGGAGTTTTCTCCCCGGAGTGAGGGTGGCGCCCCCGCGCGGGAACGATGACGATGACGACAGCCGTTATATAGAAGATGCCTGTTGATGCTGATGATGATGATGATGATGATGACGATGACGATAGTGATGTTGACGTTGTGCCGTAGATTGTTATTAGATTAATTGTGTGTGTTTTTTCTGTTTATTTTTGTTTTTTCTTGTTGTTTTTTTGGTTTTTAGTTATATACAGAAGGATAAAAAATGTCCACGTTATAAAAATATTGTGAAACTGATGCAGGATGAGCATTAGAACCCTGAAGACCCGCCACCACGACGCACCCATATCCAGGAGGGAGGGGAGCGCTGTTATGATGATGGTTTGCACTCCCCCTGTATCCTCTTATGTGCCGCGGTTATCCACGCGAAAGTGCTGTTACGACAATGGTTTGCACCCGCCTGTAACCTCTATGTTCCACGGTTATCCACACCAAAATACTGTTACGACAATGGTTTGCACCCGCCTGTAGTGAGCGCGCAATTAATTGCTGCAGTGTGACCATGAATTAAGCTGCATGTTTCTCCCAGGAGGTGGCGCTGAGGTAGCAAATCTAGCGGCCTATCGAGGACGCCCTTAGAGAACAATAACAAACTAGTAAGATGTCAGCGGATTTGAGATCTGTTGTGCTTGGGTCTGCTGCCAAATCGGATGTAACTGCATGCACATGTTTACGTATGTGTTTGCTTTTGTGTGTGCATGTGCGTGTGCGCATGTGTGCGTGTGCGCATGTGTGCGTGTGCGCATGTGTGCATGCACGCGTATGCGCATGTGTGCGTGTACGTGCGTGCACGCGTATGCGCATGTGTGCGTGCGTGCATGAGCACGTGTGCGTGTGCGTGCGTGCATGAGCATGTGTGCGTGTACGTGCGTGCGTGCGTGCAAGCGTTTGTGTCTTGCACTCTAACCTTCCGCAGCAGGCTATTAAGAAGCCTCTCACCAAATGCGCCAGTCTCTTTCACTCTTCACTGTCTTTAGCGATGATTTCTTCTGGTGTTTTCGCGTAAAACGCAATGATTTGATAAAGCCTACATGTAAATGATCTCCCACAAATACAAGCTGACGTTGAACTGTTGTTGTTCTGCATAGCTGCGCGACCACAGGCACTTGGAGCGTTTCAATAAAATATAATGCTAAATAAATACGAAATCTATTTACTATTAAAGTCTTAATGTTTCTATATTTCTATTCTCTCTTTCACCTATTATTGCCGACAATTTCCTGCAAATGCCGTCCAAATGCTCATCTGCAACAAACGCTGGCTGCCGCCATGGCGGCAGCCAGCGTTTGTTGCAGATGAGCATTTGGACGGCATTTGCAAGAAATTGTCGGCAATAATAGGTGAAAGAAAGAGAGTATAGAAACATTAAGACTTTGGTAGTAAATAGATTTCGTATTTATTTAGCATTTTATTTTATTGAAACGCTCCAAGTGCCTGTGTGCGCGACAGGGTTTACGTGGAAGAAGAAGGTGTTTGTAATTAATTATAGAGCGCGTGTGTTGTATCACGAATCTCGCACAGCTGAGGGAACACGCGCAGACGAACCGTATGTGATGAAATCACGCGCTTGAAAGCCCCCATCATCACTGTCTCTCTCTCTCTCTCTGTTCGTAATCATATGTGGTGAAATCACGCGCTTGAAAGCCCCCACCATGATCGCTTTCTCTGTGTTCATATTGTATCATGATGCGATTAAATTCCCCTGTTGAGCATGAAATTCTTTCTGACACAACGTGTACTACGTGATCATGGGCGCAAATCGAATTTTACTCATTGTGACGTCAGCGGACCGTTGTATTGTTGATGCTTTTATTGCCCCCACTCTTCCTCCCTGTGTTATTAACTCGTTGTGTCACGTCAAGTTCTCTTCGTTATTCTACGCACTGTTAAATTTTGCACCGTTTTGAGGCTCCCCCTTCCTCTCTCTCTCTCTATCTCTCTCTCTATCTCTTTCTCTCACTCTCTCTCTCTCTCTCTCTCTCTCTCCCCCTCTCTCTCCTATCAATGAACTGGGCGAGAGAAACCTTCGTAGTTGCTCGTAGTAGTTTTTTGCTGTTTTTTTATACGCACGCACGCGCTCGTGCGCGAGGTTTGTCATAGCTGCTGCTGCGCTCACGACTCAAAGCGTCTGCACGATAAAAAACTACGACGTGTAAAATCTCGCCTCCCCCACGGCTTGTCGTCGCCCGTTTGTCGCCCGCACCCCCTCCCCCTGCCCGCCTCCCCTCCCCCTACCCCGCCCGCAACCCCCTTCCCCCGCCCACACGCCCCTAACCCCTCCCCCTGCCCCCGACTGCACCGTTGTTATTTTTCCTTGGCACAAATCATGTTAATACGCGGAGACGTCGATGCTTCATGCATGTGGCGTCTCTCTCCCGGTGCGCACGATCAAACGATCGATTGACACGCAGAGATCCCTCGCTACCTTCGTCGCGGACGTTTCCATCGGACGTTCGGCCGGCGCTTGCATCCCTCCCACTCCCCGCCTGCTCTCTCCGTCTCCCAGCTCTAGGAGCGACGTCTATCATTGGCCATCGTACTCGGATGTAATTGTTTTAACCGTGGTGAACCTACGACCCTTTTACCTAATTAGGGGTCCTTGTTACGCGTATTTTAACCACAGTAAACATAATTTATCTGCGGTTAAATTATGTGGAACAAGGCCTCTGATTGGGTAAAAGGGCCATAGTTTAACCGCGGTTAAAACAATTATTTCTGAGTACGATGGCCGACCATGGACGTCGGCGTGTCGGCGCGATGACGTAGAGGATGACGTTGAGAGCGCACGCGACTTCTGCCGACGGTCGCACCGTCCTGTCCACCCGACGCTCTGACGTGCCCCCCCCCCACAATGTCGCTCTCTTCTCATAGCCTTGACCCAAGTTACGCAGCAGATTAAGTGGCAGTTGTGATTATGACAGTCTTTGATCTAAGTAGAGTATTTCCTGTCGTCGTTATCCCACCCAGGGGAACTCTAATTTAATTATACATGCCAGCAGCGTGCTCTCTGCTATTGTATATATGCCACACGTATTCGAGTTGAAACAGGAGCATGTAATAGACGCTATCTATTATGTACGCCTGGTATAATATACTTGTGTGGTGTGCACGAACTGGGGGGGAGCATGCACATTAATTTGGTCTGCCATCGGTTGCTACACATGCCTATGATCTCACCGGCTACTTAACGAAAGTCGTTAATTAATTGGTTATTGTTGTCGATACGCGATTGGAAACATCATGGCTGAAGTGACAATGATTCATGTGGTGGCCTAACCTCTGTCGAGGACAGCCTGAATATGAATTCATCGTCACAACACGTCGAATATTGCAGTACCGTTATCTGTTCTACTGTCTGTTTACAAATGTTGCTAACATTAGACCGGTAAACAACGCAATAGAAGTGTTATTATAGAGCCGTCTGGTGCAGAAGGTAATAAATTCTCGCTAGATCTGTCTATTTTAAAGCTAATGTCTGTGGTTACTGTATTTCATCTGCTTCCTACTGTTATGGTTGTAGTCTCCATTTGCTTCGAGTAAATTTCGTCGAATAACCAAATGTCGCAGGAGTACGTAAAAAGCGCGAGAAAGTATTACGCACATGGGTTTCGGGATAACCTATATTTCTGGTAAGAGATTTGTCTATCATATGACGGTTATTGTTAACTTGTACATGCGGCAAATTATATACTGTGACAGCAAATGCTCATTCTGAATGTTTTATTTGAAGAAATAAACTGAGTTTACAGATACCTTGTCGTCAGCTGTGTCATTACTGTTGTGGAGGTGAACTTGCAACATACATATAACTAGACAGAGGGCACTCACGGAGAATGCATACCTCCGCGAGCATGTAACATATATGTGCTCGCTGGTGGCGGCTGCTGACTGACTCGCCGCTCACTGGTGGCTGCTGATGACTCGCCACTCGCTGACTCCACGCGCTATCGATCGCGCGGTGGCTACACACACACACACACACACACACACCACACACACACACACACACACACCACACACACACACACACACA